AGAGGAGCTGAGGCCAATTTTTCTTTCAATGTCTTGAAAGCATGCTGGCAAGAAACTGTCAATTCAAACTTCTGGCCCTTTTTGGTCAAATCATGTAGTGAAGCAGCTATAGTTGCAAAGTCCTTCCCAAACTTCCAGTAATAGGTACAGAGTCCCAAGAAACTTCTTAGCTCTCCCACATTATCTGGTGTAGGCCAATCACACACTGCTTTCACCTTGTCAGGATCAGTTTGCACACCATGCTCACTTACAATGTGACCTAAGTAAAGCACCTCTTTCTGGAACAAGTGGCATTTCTTGGGATGGAGTTTGAGGTTTGCTGCTTTCAAATGCTTGAATACTTCTTCTAGCCGGGAAATTTCCTCATCAAAAGTTGTTGCAAATACAATGATATCGTCCAGGTACACTAGGGCTATCCTCCATTGTAGGCCTTCCAATACTCGTTCCATCAGCCTCTCAAATGTTGCTGGAGCATTACTAAGCCCGAAGGGCATCACTTGGTATTGCCAGAGACCTTGGCCATAACTAAATGCTGTCTTGGGTCTATCTGCTTCAGCCAATTTTACTTGATGGAAACCTGACTTTAAGTCCACAGTTGAAAACCAAATGGCTCCAACTAGGGCATCAAGAGTATCATCAATTCTTGGCAGTGGGTATGAGTCCTTTTCAGTTATACTGTTAAGAGCCCTGAAGTCCACACAACAACGATGGGTTCCATCCTTCTTCTGGACATGACGGGAGCTGACCAGGGACTATCTGATTTCTGGGCTATCCCTTCCTTAATTAGGCCATCCATGACCTTCTCCATCTCTTGTCACTTTGCTGGAGCTATTTTCCTCGGAGGGATCTTTATTGGACAGTGATTGCCTGTGTTTATTCTGTGCTCCACAAGGTTTGTGCAGCCGAGATTATGATCTTCTTTCGAAAAGACGTCAGCATAATTTGCCAAAAGTTCTTTTACCTGAAGAGCCTGTGATGATGACAAATGGACTGTGCTCTTCATATAGAGATCAATTAAATGTTCTGGGAATGTATGTCCTTTCTTTATGGTCGTATTTCTTGCTTTAATATTGACTGGCTCTACCTCCTGGCACACACCCAACAATGCCCCTTCCTTAAGTGTCTGCTTACATTTAGAGAAATTGACCACTATTAAAGGTACTACTTGACCTGATACAAGTGACCTTCCAATCTTCAAATCTGCTGGCCTGGATGGGTCTTCCACTGCTTTCACAAGCATTGGGCTTTCTTGGGGATGTTCTTTTATTCTACCCCAAATTATCTTCTCTGACATAGAGGGTATTGTAGTTGACTTAAGTGCTGTGACATGCAAATCAACAGATGTAGCAACACTTACTGAAATTTGGCCTTTGTTGTTTCCAATCGTCATTTTATCGAAGTTAACTACACACTTCCTCGGTAGCAAGTAGTCCAACCCTAGTATGCATTGGTCTTCAATGTCAGCCAAGTATACTTTGTGTCTGTTCTTCATGCCCATGAGCTCAATAGTTACCCATACTGGTCCCCACAACCGTGTATAATGTCCTGTCATACTACAGAGCTTCTGTACAGCTTCTTATACTCCTTTGCAATCCAGCACCTTGATACTCACAAGGGTTTGCTGAGATGCAGAATCTATGACAAAGTTGCACCTTCGGTCATCCAGCTTCCCTGTCACATACACACTGTGTGTGCTTG